ACGGTATCGCGAACAACACAGAGGACGTCGAAACGGGATAGGATGGGTTCCGTAAGTTCCACGTTCTGCGCAAAGGGGATGGTGGAGTTGTATCTGCCACCGATAGGATTTGCGGCTGCGATGATGGCACAGCGGGCTTGGAGAGATGTGACGATAACCCGCTTTGGAGATGGAAATGGATTGTTGTTCCATGGCTTCATGAATGGATGTACGGTCTTGGTCGTTCATCTTGTCGAATTCATCGATGAGACAGGTTCCTTTATCTGCCAGTACAAGGGCACCTCCTTCAAGAGTCCATTCGGATGTCATGGGATCACGGCGCACGGAAGCTGTAAGACCGACTGCGGAGGCACCCTGACCAGTGGCAAAGACAGCCCTGTGAGCAGTCTTTTCGATGTATTTGAGGACCTGGGATTTAGCGGTACCCGGGTCACGAGTAGGAGAACGTTGATGTCACCACGTATATTGTGTTTCCCGCCGACATTCTTTGGTACACCACCGAAGAGGGAACATGCAACTGCGGTTTTGATATCCTTGTGACCGTAGATACTAGGTGCGATAGACTCGATGATTTTGTCCACAACATCCTTATCCTTGGAGAGAGAACGAATTGCCTTCTCGTCTTCGTCGGTAAGACGGAAACCAGCGAGCTCGTCATGAGATTTGACGACATTGTTGGCTTCTAGGATTGTGGCAAAGACGGGGAAGCCGTTTTTGGAATTGAGTTGAACATCGTAGTTGTTGCGGTAGATACCCGTGACTTCGACTTCCTCTCCCGGCTTTGCGGAATCGATGAGATCCCAGAGAAGAATTACTTCTCGGTGGCGGGGTAGACGACCGGCGGGAACTGTTCCGGGAGACTCCTGCAATGTCATCTTTTGATAGTTTCGGTAGACTGTCTTCTCGGAATTCACTGAGAACGGTCCGCGGGATTGACAGTTCTGACAGAAGGAAATCTTGACTTCGACATTTGACTCTTGTTGGAAAGGTCCCAAGGTAATACCACACTTGGCGCAGTCGAACCTGACGTACTTGAGCTGCGGGAAGACGCCTGTTCGTCGTGTTACAACTCCGCGGACACGGACAAGGGCATTCAGATGGGCCTGGCGGAGTTCACGAAGGGTGTAAGAAGTTGGCAGATCCGCAACGCGCACATGGATTTCCGAGTGAATACGTTCGTAGTCTGGGTAATCCATACGTACAGCGTCCATGGCAACCTCGTCAAAGATCTTTAGTGTTTCCAAGGGAGCGTTGGCAAGGAACAATGCAAGCGTAGCCTTCGACTCGGCCAAATGCTGGAATGAAATCTCGAGAGACTCTGCGTTGATCTCTCCAAGCGTCCTAATCCTAGCACCGTAAACCGAGGAGCCATGCTCGTCCGTGTATTCGAGCAAGAAATTCCTAAAGTGCATCGCAACACTGCGGTATACGTTCGGATTTGATAACCAATCAGCAACGTTGGCCGCTTTAATATCTCCCAATTGCTCGAGTGAAAGTTCTTCGTCCAACACGCCATCCATCTCTTCGTCCTGCTCTTCATCGTAGTGATGTCTACGACGGCGTGGCTGCATCGAAAGATCCATCTCATCGTCTTCCTCATCCTGAAGGAAAGCCGCGGGCATACGCCGGCGGAGAGCAGCATCACGCTTGTTCAGCTGCGCATCAATTCGACGACGAGTAGCGGCGTCCAACTCATCGTAATCTTCATCATCAACGTCGGCGCCTTCATACTGATCGAGTCGGAGGTTTTGCGTGTAATCCCTAATAAACTTCAGCCGCTAATCAACCAGTATATCAAGCAATACACGAACCGCTCCATGTTATCCATAAGATCTTCCCCATCCATTTCTTCTTCTATGTCGTCAAGGTCTAGAATCCCACCATTGTCTTCGATTTCTCCATCGTCGTCCAACAGAGGCGGCGAGGAACGAAAGTTGTTGGGAGTCGATGGAAACCCTCCGGGAGGGCTCGAAGGAACACCACCAATGTTCATGTCCTCGTCATCGTCATCGTCGTCGATGTGACCACGCTTCCGCGAGCGCGGGTTTGCCTCTGGCGGGGGTGATGACTGGGGAACGGGCCATGGCGAGGACATCGTATTGAGCGGAATCGATTCAATTGAAGTGGTCTAAGGGATGGAGATTAGTTATTGTTAGATGGGCGGATGCGGGCGTGGTGGATATTGATGATGAAAGGTGGGGGGGAATATTGGAAAGACGCGATGAAGTGAAAAGGAGAAGCCAAACAACACGGCAACCGCGTTAAGTGATTTTTAGCGTAACCAAGAAAAATGTATAAAACCATTACAAAATAGCGCAGTTATTTGTGACAAGATATTTCCCTTGATCTGGCATGTTTATCGGGGCATTTTCATGTTTATGCTTGGACACTGAAATAGAGGGCGTTCAACTACGACATCGTGCCGCGTGATAAACCCCCACAGAATTCAATACCAATTCCCAACTACAACAGTCCCAGCTTCACAAATGCGATGAGAACAAATGCCATCATACTTTTTCCATCTTCTCTTTGAGCTCTACACTCCGAAATCCCCTTACTGCCGGAGTCTCTCAGATCTTTCCATTCTATCCAAACAGCAGCTCGCATCACTGCCGGCTTGGATTCCCCCGCCAAATACCAACGTCTTCACTACCACCTTACCTTCACACCCCCGTCAGTTAACTTTAGATACTTCTCAGTCCAAACCCAAACACATTCGACAGAAGAGCAAGAGCAAGGAGAAGGAGTCAACTGCAGATAGACACCCGGATTGGCGTTTTGGACGTATCAAGATGGAGTCGATCGATATGGCACCGACTACAAAGCCCGTTTTAGTACCGGGGGCTCTGAGCGCTGTCTCAACCTCTCCATTAACAACAGGCGCTGTGGCTTCGAAGGCTCGGTTTGTACCGTTAGAAACGCGGAATACGGAGTTTGGTTATGGTGTGGTACATCTCTATCGCGATTCCCACGAGACACCAGGGCTCTACGATCCACCACCAGAATCAAAACAACCGGAGGGAAAGGAAGAGGTAATATCGAACGGGGAAAAGTTGGACGAAGAGGCTCTGACAACGGTTGCGATTCTTGCGGTTCCGTCATACATGACGCCGTCCGATTTCATGGGGTTTGTTGGTGAGGGGACAAGGGATGCGGTTTCACATCTCCGGATGGTTCGAACAGGAAAAGCAAATCGTTACATGGTGCTTATGAAATTCCGAAACAAGGACGGCGCAAGGAAGTTTGTAAATGACTTCAATGGAAAGGTTTTCAACAGTATGGAAGTATGTAGTTGTATTGCTCAAACAGTATTCCGGTGCATGGCTAATAGACTTACAGCCAGAGAACTGCCATGTAGTCTACGTAAAGTCGATACAATTTACCTCGCCTTCAGCTGCGATGGTATCTCAGAACCAACGACCGGGCGTCTTCCCAGAACTCTCAAATGACCCCTTCTCGCCATCTCGCTCGCCCGTCCCGACAGAATCTTCAACAAGCCCATCCACCTCCACTGCTCCTCATCTCAGTACCAAGCCGGCGCCACCACCCACTCCTTCACTTCTGGAACTCCCGACCTGTCCTGTCTGCCTTGAGAGAATGGACGAAACGACAGGCCTTCTTACTATCCTCTGCCAACATGTTTTTCATTGCGCCTGTCTCTCCAAATGGAAAGATTCCTCCTGTCCTGTCTGCAGGTACACACAGTCATCTCATCCCCCAACTTCGGACGTCGATACTTCAGAAGACGAAGAAGATTGCTGCAACACTTGCGGCGCGAACCAAAACCTGTGGATTTGTCTTATCTGCGGCAATGTTGGTTGCGGTCGGTATGACGATGCTCACGCATTTGCACACTATAAGTCCACGTCTCACTGCTACGCCATGGACATCGAGACGCAGCGTGTATGGGATTATGCCGGGGACGGCTACGTCCACCGTCTCATACAGAATAAATCAGACGGAAAGTTGGTGGAACTACCATCGGCACTCGGAGCATCAGAATATTCACATTCAGAAAGTGACCTAATTCCTACAGCCAAACTGGAAAAAATCGGAATGGAATACACATACCTACTTACCTCACAGCTCGAATCCCAGCGTCTATACTTCGAAGAGAAGGTTGCAAAAGCAGCTGATAAAGCCTCTTCCGCCACCTCATCTGCGGAAAAAGCTGTTGCTGAAGCAACCGCGGCCGTGGCCTCTCTCAGATCCATCGAGGAGAAATATAACCACCTTGCGCAGGAGGTTGTGCCTGGCCTGGAAAAGGCAAAGGTAAGAGCAGAGGCTAAGTCGCAGAAATTTGCCGAGATGGCGCGGCACATGGAGAAGGAGTGGAAAGAGGAGAAGAGGGTGAACGAGGGGTTATTGGAGAGGGTGAAGTTTCTAGATAATGAGAATACCGAAAGAGGGAAAGAGGTAGCAGAGCTGAAAGAACAGGTTAGGGATTTAATGTTTTTCTTACAGGCGAGGGAGAAGATGGAGGACGTTGGCGAGGACGTGCAAGAGGGCGTTATTACTGTGGGAGACGCACCTAAAGAGGGGGGTAAGAAGAAAAAGGGAAAGGGGAGGCGGTAGTTGGATGATGGGGAGTTGCGGCGTTTGGGTTCATTTGCTTGCAGCAAGGAATGAGATGTATTGCTTTGGTTTTGAAATCCATTGCCTCAGATCAGTGATATGGTTCATGCGATGCATTGGAATAACACTTAAAACACTTGGCTTTTATATAGCTCATTAGGCAATGAAGTTTGAATCATTAGTTGAACTGCGTCCCAGAGGGCGAGGTGGAAATGAAATATCGAGAATATCGGTGCCCGGGACACAGGGAACTCAACCTAGTTTGCCAAAATGCCCGTTCCACGCTGTTGCTCTTAAATATACCCGTTGGATGCACAGAATTAGTGGGATGCAATATCGTGGTGCTCTAAGATGCTGTTACAAGTCTTCATCCCAATGATCTCAGAGCTCTATGTTTGCACGTCTCCTAATTATGTCATCGTTCAGCGCTAATAGCTCAGTTGGGAGAGCGTCAGACTGAAGCCAAGCATAACTCGGGGTAATCTGAAGGTCACCCGTTCAATCCGGGTTTGGCGCATCGATAATCTTTTGCCCTTTTGTCATGGAGATTTCATTTTGTATCTTTTGCGGACTGGATAATCTGCGCCGCCTCTGACCAATCTACTCTAGTGATATATTTACTCTTGACGTTAACAGTTTGTCCCTATGCCAGATATTCATAATGAATTTGTCGATATTAATTGAACTTTGATCCATGTCCATTTTATGCATAAAGCTTGGCATGCAACCTTACTAGTCCGATACGAACCCTTCCTCGCACTGATCTTTCCCCACCGCTCCCTCCTCAACCCTCACCTCCGCCGGCCGCCCGAAATGTCTTACCCAATGACACAACTCGGCAGCCGAGGTTCGTCCACCCCTCCCCGCGGTTCTAATAACTAACCCATTCTTCCTTCAGCGATTAACCACCTCTCCTCCGCCTCCGACTCAGACGAAGCCGAATACGACCGTCTACGCGGCCTCGCGCGCGCCGAAGCCTCCAAACGCAGCGCGCTCCTCCAGCGCTCACAAGCAGCGTACCAAGCGGGTGACAAAGCCGCGGCGCACGCGCTCTCACAGGAAGGGAAAGCCCACGGGCTGCAAATGGAGCGGTATAATCTACAGGCGCGCGACTTCATCTTTCGCGCCAATAATGCGAACCAACCGGCGGATACGATTGACCTCCACGGACTGTATGTGGAGGAGGCGGAGGAGATTTTGGAAGCGAGGATTAATGCGGCTACGAGGAGAGGTGACGAAGGGCTGCATGTTATTGTCGGTCGAGGGAATCATAGTGTTGATCATGTCCGGAAGTTAGCGCCAGCGGTTGAAAGGATATGTAAAGGCCTGGGATTGAGGTATCGTGAGGAGGAGAATGAGGGGAGGGTTTATGTGTGGCTACGCCCTGGGACTGGGGGGGAGGGCGTTGTGCCACCTGGTTGGGGACAGCAGCAGCAACATCATGGGCAGCAACAGCAACATCATGGACAGCAGCAACAGCAGCATGGAGGCCATCACGGAGGTCAACACCAACAGCAGCAACAGCAGCCCGATCTGTTGGAGGAAACGGCGAAGCCGATTCTGCCAATGATTTTCAAGAAGATGGGGCAGTGCTGTGTTATCATGTGAAAGCAAGCTGTTGGATGTATACATATTTTGTTTATTTTTTTTGTATGTTGAAGTATGATAGTAGCGCATCGATATCATGTATATATGAAGCGGTAGATACCTATGTAGTACCTAGTAGTAGTAGTAGTAGTAGTAGTCGCAGTTATGAAGGCACGTATTATGATCCTCAAGTTTTTCAAAGAATAAACGCAAGGGCTTTTCTCCCTTCCTCATAGCCACCATTGGTCCGAGGTCTGACAAAGGCCTACCTACACATGTATTCCAGAATTTCTGAAGTCTGTAATTATGAGGCAAGACCGGACCTCAAGCGCAATGGTTCGAACGACTGTGTCACAGAGTGTGATCTCGTCCGTTGGTTTTGTTCTTCACCTAGAGTGTCCGTCACTCTGCTGCTTTGCACAGCTATCCATTATCAAAAAGCTATCCCCGTACAAATCAATACTAGTTCAAAATATGCCTTCTCCGTGCAAAAAGGGATGCGCCAAACCCGATTGAACGGGTGACCTTCAGATTACCCCGAGTTATATTAATTGACTTCAGTCTGACGCTCTCCCAACTGAGCTATTAGCGCTGGATGTGGAAAGTGTTTCCTCACTGCGGTCCCGGTGGTTAATTCCCTTGAAGACATATATCGATGGATGGTTGTTTGGACAATGATCCTCGGCAGAAAGTACAAATAGTATGAAGAATGTTGAGGTAAAGGAAGAGGGTGTGGAGAGAAGGCCGGACTTATACCACTTACTATACCAAGCGTATGTACGGGGTTCCTGGTGTGACAGCTTTGTTAACAGACGACATGGTGTAAAGTGGAACACCTTCTGTGAGGAACAACGGACAAGATGGGTACTCTACAGTCGTCTACCGCGAAACCTGTACCTACTTTCATCCGCAGGAGCACAAAAATCCCGTGTATGCTACCATAACAAACCCAGCAATCACAAAAAAAATGCCTCCCATATATCATCAAACGTATCCAGCATAATGCATTACACCACACATACCATCATTATTACACCCCTTCCTCCGCATCCCCACTATACTCCTTCCTCCTTTCCGGCTCCGCCACTTTTTTCTCCACGTCATAACTCACGCTCGATTCATCATCATACGCCAATCTAACTTCCGAAATATCCTCACCAACCTCCATCCACGTATCACTACACGCCAGAATCGGGGAGATCCTTGTCAGGAGATAGTATATACTGGAGCTTGCAATCACACCTGCAAAGAAATTGATTCTATAGATGTATGTTGCGCCGATGGGGACATGTTTCCCGATCGCACCGGCGAATCCAACAACGTTGACCAAGATTCCCGAAATATATGCGACATATGCGCGCCAGTGGATGCCGAAGGTGAAGTAGTATGGACTACTCTTTTTTGTGGAGTATAGGTTTTTGATCTCGAGGTATCCTTTGCGGACGAAGTAGTAGTCCGAGAGTATTACGCCAGCGATGGAGGAGAGGAAGACGGAGTATGAAGAGAGGTATAGGGTGAAGTTATTAGAAGTTGAGAGAAGGTTCCAGGGACACATTGCGAGGCCTACAGCCGCGCACACGTATCCACCCCGACGAATGTTGAGGTACCGCGGGAGAAGCGCAGTCATGTCTGTACCAGCAGAGACAGAGTTTGCGGCGATGTTGGTACCCAGTTGGGCTAGTGAGAAGGCAGTAGCGATGAAGAAGACCCCGGCGCGGTTGGAGGATCCGCCTTCGTCCAGAAATTTGCCGAGAAGCATTAGGGGGTTCCAGATTGGTTCTTTGTAGATTACTGTTGAGGAGGAGGAGACAATGATGCCGACGAAGGAGGTGAAGGCAAAACCTGAGGTTTGTTAGTTGCGCTGCTTTTATGTGTTTAGTGTAAAGGGTACAAACCGCAAGGGATGGTGATGAGCTGGGACCACAGCTGATCGCGGGGCTTCTGTGCGAAGCGAGTGAAGTCAGGGTCGTTGACAATCAGGGTGGCGAAGTTGGCGATGGAGGACATGATGCCACTGACGAACGCCCAGGCCATCTCGGAACCGTGGATTTTTGCAGGCTGGTGGACGATGGGGCCAACTCCGCCCGCTCTCTTTATGCACCAGCCAAAAAAGGCGAATCCGCTGTTGAAGACGTCAGTAAGGTTCTAAAGAATCAGGGTGAAAGGGGGAACATACGCAATTGGCACAACATAAGACTTAACGGTGAAAAGATGTCTGATCTTATGAACTGGGAACCAGATGGCAGGCAAAGAACAGAACCAGAACAGAAAGAACGAAAGAAAGTCCCTCGTGTTCGTCCCCGAGCTCGCAGGCATGGAATTCGGCAAATCCTGATACTTTGCCCATATGCTCCGAATCATCAAATACACACAAGTGCCGCCGATCCACGACTGTACACCGTACCATATACACGCCATGGCGGCTCGGTTGAATACAGGCCATAGACTCCCCCTGCACCACAGTTAATCACTCACCACCATTTACCAACCAGGAGAGCTACCAGACTCCGAAGGAAGATCGTGCCACGACGGGAAACCCGATGTGGTAGGTAGCACCGATCCGACCAGAAAGACAAATAAAGCAGGCGGCGATAAAGTATCCGATCCAGACGCACAACCAAGACTGCCACCATGACAAGCCCTGGATGATCATACTGGAGGAAATCATCCATGTGTTGATGTTGAAAGAATCCGCGATCCAGAAACCGACGAAATTCCACGGTCCCCATTGTCTGCGTGCAGGTTCGACTGTGCGGTAAAACCTGTCAGCATGGTTGATGCTATGTTGTTAGGCAGCACTCTAGCGACCATTGATGATAAGGTTCGGCAGCCCTCCGAATCAAATAAGAGATTCCGAGACCTCGCAGAAATAGATATCACCACCCCCGCCCCGCCCGGACTAGATACAGCTTCCTGAACAATGCCGATCAAGATATTTTCTTCGCCGTAGATAATTGTGGGTTTTGAAGCGAATTGAAATAAAATTTGAACCCACCAGGCTTTAAATCATCGTTCGTCAACATCAACTGAGCATCCGTCAATCCAGGCTCATGGTTGGTCTCGAGCTTTCGCAGGAACGTGGGGCCCGGCATCTTGATTATCGCGGATGAGAGGAGTCTTGTGGCGCTATTCGATCAGGCACCCGTCCGGATTGGGGCCGTGGTGGTTATCGTCGTGGACTCAATGTCTCTCTCTGAAGGAACAGAGAGAGTATATGATGAGGAAGAAGAGACAATGATGAAGCACTCTCAAGTTGCGACGGTGACGTTGCTATAATCTCGCGGCACGCGGTGGTCTTATGTACTCCCGGGCGATGTGCTTCATTCTTGGTGGTTTCCCCGACCGCCCCACCCACCCACCCACCAACACGCGACATCCCTTCTCTAATCAAGAAAACCCGTGTGGTCGGTATGGGTATGGGGGGCATGCTATCTCTCTAAGCGGCGATCTGAGTACTGTACCGGCCACTGAGGTTCGGACGTCAGCAGTCAGCACAGGGTGCAGTTTTTATACCTCTTGTCAGCGTCAGCAGGCCAGTGTCCAAACCATAAAAGGTGCCAGCACCCTCAAGTTTAATTTTATACAATACATTTAAAATAGATACATATTGCAGGGTATTTTCCTGCTTGGTTCACCCTTTATCCCACCCGCTCTTCCTGCACTTCTGATGACACGCCACGAATTGAGATCTTCTACGTACCGCCATCATTACCATAACTCTGTCCATCTCTTCTGCAGCCGTCAGCACTGGCTGTCCAAAACGAAATTGCCTGTCAGCAACAGACAGTGTCCGAACCTCAGTGCCGGGTACAGTATCTCGATATCCGGCTTAGCGACGGACGAATCGAAAGTATGGAGTTTCTACAAATCAGAACAACGGGCCATTCTCCCCAGGATCTTGAAACCAGGTCGAGACGTGGAAGGTGCATCGAGGTTAGGGGTTGTGCGGTGAAGTTTAACGTTTTAAGCGGGGAAGCCGATAGGAAAGTCCCATCTGTCAGACTGCTTTTTTTTCTCTTTCTCTCCCTTTTGCCAGCATACGCTAGCTGTGGCGAATTGTTCCTTATCGCGCCCACTCTTATCTAAAGTGGTCATTTAAATCGCGATTTCCTCCTCCACCAACATGCGAGTTCCTCCAGCAGGATGCGAAACCAACAATGTAAACCATCATCACGATGTCCAAGGAAAGCGAAAGCATACACTCCCCGAATAATTCTCGTGCATGTTTCGTGACGTTGTCTAAGTTCACGTGGCATTGTTTTTTAGCTTTGCTCCTCGGCGTTTGGCGGCAGCAGATAAACTTGATAAAGCAACCCCATCTGCACGATAGCGGCCATGCTGACTCGATGGAATCGAGCAATTGAGGTGGAGATAAAATATCCGGTAACGAAAAAAGGGTGCGGGATGTTAAGATAACCTGCAGGGTCATGCCGCCGCGCCACTATGTAAGTCTCGAATGCTGCCAGCCGTGCGCTAGAGTCAAACGTCAAGACGCTAACCGGTTATTGGGATTCGGTCTTCAGAAATCTAGAAACAAGTAACGGCTTCTCCGTAGCAGTATCGGCTAGGAGTCCCCGGGCCTGGGGAGAGAGGCAATTACTATGGGTAACGCAGCATCAAGAACGTGATGCAATTCTATGTATAACCCGTATACGTTGGATGGTCCATGATAAACCTTCAGTAGTTGAACCTGAACGTCTGATTATCACATTGGGCCCGCCAGGTATCGATGAGTTTTGGGGAATAAACAATATAGAGCAAGCCACTTCTATACTCTACTAGGTGGTAAATGTTGACTTCAAAACCAGCGCAGGACGTCCACCGCACACAGGGAATACGAGATACTTAACCTCCCAGGCGAGGATGTTGCTCGCAACCCGCGCATATATATAACCCATTCAAAACCGAAATCCCACCAAGAACATAAAGAGCACCCAGTTTACGCGTGGGTTTGGTGCACGTTGGGTATTGCCGAATGGTAGATCCTAGCCCATGAGTTCAACCTAGGAAACCGTGGAATCTCGTACATACTAATGCACAACGAGGTCATGATGTGCAGAAATAGAGTAGTTACATAGCGAGAAGCCTGCACTAAAGAACGCTAGAAGTTGCTTCGATGGGCGATTGATTGTGACGGCAGGGCTTAAATGTAGTATTCGAAACAACCGGTACTATAGCTCTGGTGTAATATATACCTCCTCCAGGAAAAGATTAGGCCAGTCAACTTTCATGGTATAGGTATTCACTCTTGAGTATTTTGTAGTATTTCACATCTCTGGAGGCAATCACCATACGAGTACATAAGAAGAAATCAGCCGGATATAGTGTTGCACTATGATAATCGCTTCAAAACCGTTATAATGACCAAAAAAAACAAACCAAAAAAATAAGTAAACCATCCCACCGCCATCTTCCTCAAACATATCTCCTCCCTGTCTATTTGAAGCAATTAAACCCACAGCATCTGATCCTCTTGTAAGTCCTCGCGCCGTGTCGATTCGCCGTGAATCCGAGACCGAACCGTTTTCCGCCAACGCCTTTGGAAGTGTAATTGAACGGCATGTTGTTTGTGGGGATGTATGTGTAGTTTGT